TTTTACTGAATTTTTCAACTTGTTCCTCACTTCCTTTCAGTCTTGATTCCAAATCGCTAATGTATCCTTCACTATTTTCCGAATTATTTTTCAAATGTACTATCTTATTCTTTAATTCATTAATTAATTCTTGATCTTTCTGTTGTTCCAACACAAAAGCCTCCAATTTACGTTCCAAATCTCTAATGTATCCTTCGTTAGTAATTTCATGTTCTGTCAAATTTGCAATTTTTAATCTTAAATCATTAATAAGAGCAATATTTTGTTCATTGATTCGTTCAGCATGCGCGAGTTTTGATTCTTGTTCTTGCATAATCGTTTCTGTATGACTTAGAGCAGCTCTTGTAAGTGCTAATTGAGATTCCAAATTTGAAATTGATTTTTCATATTCTTCAATTACGGGTTCTACAACTTTTTGGAAGTTTGCCAGTTTTAGTTCATCCTCAGCTTCTTCAGATATAGACTCTAAACAATTTTGAGGAGCAAATTTAGAATTTGTTGGAGTTCCAACATCAGGAGAGTCATGTAGAGATGACGAATCCATATTTTCTTGATGAATGGCAAGTTCAGCAGAAGTTTTTGCATATTTTTGAGATAATTCAGCATAAGATCTTTGTAACTCTATTAATTGTTCTTCAAGGATTTCAATATCTTTGTCATTCTGTGATTTTGCAAATTCATCTGCATTTGTTACTATAGAAAGACTTGTTGAGGATCTTTTCGACCCTCCTCCGTGCCCTCCATATGCCGACGTAGGTGTATTAGGTGTATTCCTTCCAGACATCATAGTAGGAGTATTTCTTCCGGACATCATAGTAGGAGTATTTCTCCCAGAACTGCAAGATTCGTTTCCATCAATTAAACCATTTGGTAAACTTGTACTTTTCAGTGCTTTAATCTCTCTTCGCAATTTCAAAACCAATGTTCGTAAATGATCTAAATCATTCCAACCAACTTCTTCAGAATTAACAGTTGCAATATTCTTAATATTTCTCGCACGATTAGCATATTTAAGAGTATTTAGAGATTCGGTAAGATTTGACTCAGCAGGTGATACGCAAGCAATCATTAAAGTTCGCGCGTTACCACCTAAAGAGTCTTGCAACAAACGAGTAAGCTTAGAATCACGATATGGAATATGAGTTATGTGTTTAGCTTTAGTAGGATCGCCAAGAGCGGAGATTACATTGCCTAGAGCTAAAAGACCCGAATTTATGGAGATGCCTTCCTTTGCACGTTCCCCTATAGCTGATGTTCTTTTCAGCTATTTTATGCAATAACCCAAATTGATAGTGAATAAAAAAAAATTTCAATGTATATAAACAAAGTAATAATATAATACTTACCCTTTCACTACCAGCCAAATCTACAAAATGAAATTTACTTGAAATAGACACACTTTCACTATCGTCTAATTTCCTACTCAATCTCAAACTACTTCCTGGCCTTATTTTTGAAGGTGTTGATGGTCGACTAGTAGGTGATATCGGAGAATTTGGAGGGTTACTGGAGTTGACATACTGGGTCATCGTGACACTAAATATTGCATGAGATCTTGAAGATTGGGCATTCATATCCGTTGCACCTACTTGACGATTTTGAGAACCTCGAGATAAGTGACTTTATATATAAGAGTATAACAATAATCAAGTAATAATAATGATGATAGTGATAATATGGTGATATATAAAAATGGTGATAAATAAAACAGAGATAAAATAAATAAATAGGAATAAACGAGAAGTTATAAACTTAAATTCATAATAATAAACATTTACCTCATAACTTCCTCAACACCATTAACTTTAATCTCTTGCAGACCATTCCAAATTATATTTCCTTTAGAATCTTCTCTTATGATAACTTGAGGTTTATCATCGCCAACATTATCCGCAAGCAAATCTATTAGATCTTCATTATAAATTTCAATGAAACTAACTTTAATTGAAAAGTTTCGAGATTTCAGCTGCGAAGAATTCATTGTTTTGAATAGAGTTGAGATGGCACGTGGAATTATTCCTTTAGATTCCGAAGGAATATCATGGTTGTTTGCGGTACCCATTGTGTGAGTTTTACCGGATGACGTCTGACCATAGGCTAGGATCGTCACATTGTAACCTTTAAAAATTAGTTGATACGACTTGTTAATAGCATGTTTTATATTTTATGCTTTATATTAATTAATATACGTATATAGCATGCTTGAGATTATTATTTATCTATACGATTTTATTGTTAGAAAATTGTGAATATACAATATTTCTTTAGGTCAATCGTTAATGCAATCAAGTTTTGTACATTTAATCTAAAGAACGCAATTATTCCAATACAGATCACTTATATATGTAATTTAAATCCTCGCTATCTTTTAAAACTTACCCTCTAAAAACTGATGGACTAGTTTCTCGACAGCATTTTCATAGACTTCAGATTGTTCAGCCTCGGGGCCAAAAACATAATCAAAATTAAAGCATTGTTTCTTTTCTCCTTGTACTACCACCTGATTTGGAGATTGCGGTGAAGTAGCAACCACAGGGCGTTGAAATCGAGATTGCTTTATGGATGAAGCTTCATTTACTATTGGTCTTATTCGGATGGCTATAACGAAGGATATTTATTTGAGTTAATGTTTACCGCGTTATTTGCAATAAGTATTTACAACAAATAATCATGGATTTTTTTTTGTTTTCATATTTAGGACATGAAAAGAAACGAAAGCACTTACCAACTTGTACAGAAGTCTTTTCCGAACTTCCAATGGTAGCCATTAGCTCTTTGGCGGTAGTTGTATTTTTAATAACTTATGTATCTCAAATTTTTTTTCTTTTTTTTTTTCTGATGTGCTGTAGAATAAAATGATTCTTTACAAATAGTGAAGGATACATTAGCGATTTGGAATCAAGACTGAAAGGAAGTGAGGAACAAGTTGAAAAATTCAGTAAAA